TTGTTTCTAAAGTGAAAGGATTGCTACTCACTTATGAACACATATGAGCTATTATGGTAAGATGTCTACATAAGAGTCTAGTAAAGGCTAATGTGAACTTATGTGATGAGTAAAGATGATTACAAAAGGGAATTAGATGCTTAGCACTGAAAGGGCATGTAAATGAGATGGGGCTCTCACGTTTAGTAAGTCCAGCTCCCACATGGGTTTCCTCACGTTTAGCAAGTTCGGATTACCTACGATATGTGTTGTCTCATGATATGGAAACCCCCACGTTTAGTAAGTTAGGGTTTCTAGAAGCAATCTCCTTGACCCTTAACTATGTGCCCACATAGGACTCTAGCTTAGTGGATCCACCTAGATAGATATGTACGAATGGTTATACCTTAGGCAAGTGTTAAACCTCTCTTTTCGGTGTCGGAGTAGAACACCGGATTCCATGTAGCTCTCATGGTCTATGTCAGTTATTGCAATATTTCCCTAATGTAAAAGTAAATGAAGGTATGAAAGGTGTGAACTCTTACTAGGGCTTTCTTAAGGGTTTCTACATAGTGTAAGGGATGGTATGGGACTTCTCTTGCACATTGCACTTATGAGATCCTAAGAGATGGTTGTAGTGGTGTTCTCTTATGATTATGATAATTATGACTTATGTATGTTGAATCTATGTTATGAATGATCATTATGAATATGGTAAGTTATGATGAAATATGATCTTATGAATGTATGCATGAAGTCGGTTGCTTAATGTGATACTTGGCTTTGAATAGGGTTATGGGGTTCTATTCTTTGCATTGCACTAGTATTGCTTGGGTTGTCTACATGTTGGGATGATATTATGTTAGTTTGGACTATGATGCTTACTTTGTGTGCATATTGGATTTACTTGGTAAAAAGCATGTTTTGACTAAATGTCATTTTATGCATGTTTCAATGGTTTTTATGCATAGTAGCCATACTTAGTACGTGTGTTGTACTAACCCATATTTTCTCCCTTTTCCCCAAACATTTAGGTTCAGGCCATTGAGGATTCAAGCTTACTTCTCAAGACACTTGGAGTTGCTTCCCCAAGTTGGTGAGTCCTCAAGTCCTAGGACAAGACCCTATGATCTAGCTTCTATGTTTAGTTCTTTGCTTATGTTGAAAGACATTATTGTACTTTCCTATTTCAAGACTTCTTATTGATGTAAGGACTAAGTCTCATTTTCGATACTTTTATGTCTAGATGGTACATTGTGTCGAAGTTAGATATTGTTTTTCATATATGAAGTGAAGTTGAACTTCCAAAGTAAAAGTTTTAAATTTTCCGTGATTTTATTCTATGATACGTGATATGACGAATTCTAAGGGGTTGTATAAGACCTCTTCGAGGTCGAATACGCCGGTAACGACTAGGGGGTGCTTTCGGGTCGTTACAAGTGGCCCAGCAATTTCCCAAATTTTCTCTTTTCCTAATTAACGACGGTTCGGCTCGTTACAAGATCATTAAAATACATAAACTTACTTTGTTTTATTTAATGTTTAATCATATGATTAATACTTATTAGACTTATTTTGGCATGATTTAGTTCTTTAAACTTATGATCATTTTCATTTTAACTTAATTATTTGCAATATTTATTTTATGTGATTTCATTATTATTTTTGTTGAATATTTTAGTGTCATCACTCATATTATATTTTGCATTTACTAAGACTAAAGAAATATTTGAAACACAAGTCAATTATATGTCTGTAAGAATACTTAATCGAAAAAAATTGAAAAAACTGGAAAATCCGAGTTTGAAAATTTGAATTTTATTAGTTTGGTTTGGTTATAGATTTAAGAACCCGGCATAAATGGTTTGGTATGTTAAAAATCTGAACAAACTCGGTCAATGTACATCCCTAAATTCTATGCCATTCGTTAAAAAATTGATTCATTTATGTCATTTCAGTTAACTAATAATGACGTGGATGAACCTTTAAAAATTGCATAAATGTGCCAAACTTTTAACATATGACATAGATAAGTAATTTTTTTTTCAAAGTTTGATGATATATTTGATCATTTTCTTTAATTCTATAATTACTCTCATTTGTTGTTTTTCAAAACTCACTTAACTTTATCAAGTTAGCTTTTCTGATCATTATTTTTGAAAATATAATTTTTGATACTTATTTATGATGTGCCAAATGAAATTTTTTAGAAAAAGAATGTTTTAAATTTTAAATTAATATTTACTTATTAAGTTTTCGATTAATTTTTTTAATTAGTTTTTTCTTATTATTTTTCATTAATCGAATTTAATATGTTGTTGTCTTGAGTATAAATATTTTAAATATATTACAAGACATACTCAAATAGTCAAATTTTTATTTTTTTATAACTGATTATTTAATTTTGAGAGGACACGAGCTTGAGAGAGAACTCAACTTGATTCTTCCCACAAGCTATGGGGATTTAAATAACTAACTATACATGTCCTAAAAAGGAAAAAAAAAATAAGTATCTAATCAATATAAATCAATACCTAATTAAAATAAAAGTAAACCTAGGAGTAAATCAAGCTACCTACTATAGTTGCACATATGCTATAGAATATTTATATGATTCTAACACTCCCCTTCAAGCTAGTGCATACAAATTACATGTATCAATCTTGTTACATAAATAGAGCTATTGACCGTATGAACCTTGTGGCTATGTCTCCTTAGAGTACCTTTTTCTGACAAAATGATAATCAATCCCTATATGTTCAGTCCTCTCGTGAAATATTGAATTCGATACAATGTGAAGTGCAACTTGATTACCGCACATAAGTTCCATTCCTTTTCTAACTCTAAATTTCAATTCCTTCCATAGTTGCTTGATCTATAAGAGTTCACATGTTGTACCACCCTAACCCGATATTCTACTTCTACATTAGATCTAGCAACCATATTTTGTTTCTTACTTTTTCAAGACACCAAATTGTAACAACTTGTTCCCGTCGTTATAGAAATGACATCAGGGAAAGAAATTGGGTTAGAAAACTTTTTCGTAGTAACTTGAGAATTCCTAACCTAGTCCAGATTTGAATGAAATTGGAGTCAGTAAGGTCTAGGGAGATCTGGTAACGAATGAGAGATCTAATTATGATTTTGATCACATGAGTAGATAGCGAGGCACGTTAAGGAACCCGTATGACTTACGAAATCAAATTCGGGTGAGTAAAACTCTCAAAACTGATCTTAGCGTGAACGGGTAGTTTTTGAGTATCATGGGTTAAAGGTGTGTTGTGAAATAGGGGTTTGAAACTCAACTTTTGACTCTCTATTTCCATGAAAGCCGCCAAGGCGCAATTATTCTCACCAGGGTGGGGCCGCTCTGGTGGGTTGGTCCCGCTACAAAGGGCCAGTCGTGAATTAAGTCGAAATTAAACCCCAAAAATGTTATTTTCTACAAGTTTTGAACTTGAGACCTAGGAGACGACACCATGTGATTTCTTGACAATTTCCACTATTTTTGGTGCTAAATGTAAGGATTTTACTCCCCTAATCCATTTTTTGACTTGTAGAACTTAGATTTATGGGTGATTATCAGTGAGGGAGGGTTTTGACTTGAAAACTAATGATGGAAAAAGCCCTAAGTTGGATTTTGGGATCTCGGGTTTGGCCTAGGGTTGATAATTTTGATTGTAATCCGGGTAAATAGACCTTAATTATTGATCCTCGTATTGAATTGATTGTTTGTAGACCTAGAACAAGCGAAAAGAATTCGAAAAGGAAAGAATCAAGTTTCTTAGGAGGATTCAAGCTTGGTTTCGAGGTAGGTGATGGTTTGATTTCATGTTTGTGTGATGTATGTTAGTATTTGCCTCATTCTAATGCATATATGTATGCGATGTTGAACTATTGATCACATCAAATGCAAATGAGTATGAATGAATCATTGTATGCCATGAATCAACACTTAATGGTATGATTTATGAGAATGTACATTGTGATTGTGAATGTGGCTTGTTGAATGGACCGGGTGTTACGTTCTAACACACTAACTGGGATCGGATGTCACGTACCGACATACATATTGGAACGGGTGTTACGTTCCGACACACTAATTGGGATCGGGTACCACGTTCCGGTGCACTAACAGTTTGGGTATGGTTCCATGAGAGGACCATTGACTTGTCATATATGCGTATTTACATTATATTAAAAATATGGAAGGGTACGTTGCTCCTGAAATGATAATTGATATTGTATATGTTCGGTATATGCGTGTTTATTATGGTGTGACTGCTTGTATATGTTTCACTTACTGGAATAGCCGTGTGATCCTACCAGTACATTGTGGTTGTGTACTGATGATGCATTCTCTCTTTCTTTGTTGAGTACATGGAATCTTCAGGCGGCTACTGACAGACCTCATCTAGGAGATCAATGATCAATCGAATTCAAGGGTGAGCCAGTTCTTCCAGGCTGCTATAAGTTCTCTATGTTTTAGTCCACTCTTTTCAAACTCAGACTTTCTAGTTAGATATTCGTATGTTTAATTGGGTTGCACCCATTCTCTTTAGACTTGTTGAACTTTAGAGTTTTAGTACATTGAGTTTCAGATTCTAGGGAATATTTTGCAATGTTTTCATAGTCGTTGTTAGACTTTTGGAGTTTATGAGAACTCTATTTGATTTCTGCTTTTGAACCTGCTTCTGTATCTTTCAATGTTTAGCTCTTGGGTTAGCTGATTAGTGTTAATGGTTCTCCCACCGAAGGGTTAGTGTGGGTGTCAATCATGACGGTCTGGGTCCTGACAAAGTTGGTATCAGAGCCCTAGGTTTGTTGATCTGGGTGTACCAAAACGAGTCTAGTAGAGTCTTGCAGAATGGTACAGAGACGTCTGCACTTTTCTTCGAGAGGTTATAGGACTTTAGGAATCTCTCTGTTTTCTCTTGTCTTCTTTTGTGCTATAACTTGATTCCAATTGGTATCTGGCAATCCGAATTGATATCTAATTTCCTTCACTCTTCTGTTCGCAGATGGTTAACACTTGCTTCAACGGTGTCAGGCCTGTAGCTCCCGTCAATGAGCCCGCTGAGGAGTCCGCAACAAAAGGTCGCGGTCAAGGCAGGGATAGAGAAAGAGCAAGGGGTAGAGGCCTAGGTAGGGTATCACCCACAACGGGTAGGGTTTCGGTTTAGAATTCTCCCAGAAATGAGGTTCCTCCTGCACATCATGAAGAGATACAGGAGAATATAGAGGTTGAGAATGAAGAGGATATTGGACAAGAGGAAGTGGTGCAGGCTGAGACTACAGGTATTCCTCACTTAGACCCAGTGTTAGCTCAACAGATTATGTCTTTCCTGAAAGGATTGATTGGTCCTGGAATTCTTCCCACAATTCAAGCTACTCAAACTCCCGCCAATCCCCCTATTGCTATTACTGCCCCCAAGGTGGATGGAACTGCAGGTAATGGCATATTTTTCCATCATTTGTTGGGTACTGTGATGACTGGTAATCAACATGAAATGTTGACTAAGTTTCTGAAACTGAAGTCGCCCATGTTTCATGGTCCTGAGAGTGAGGATGCCTATGAGTTCATCTTGGATTGTTATGAGAGGCTGCATAAGTTGGGTATTGTCCATAAGCATGGAGTAGAGTTTGTGACTTTCTAGCTTCAGGGTGAGGCTAAGCAATGGTGGAGAGCTTATGTGGAATGCAGATCTTCAGCTTTTTCCCCACTCACGTAGACACAGTTTCATGCTTTGTTTCTGGAGAAATATGTTCCCCGAAATTTGAGAGATCGCAATAAGGATGAATTCATGGCTTTATAGAAGAGTGGTATGTTTGTAGCTGCTTATGAGGCTAAGTTGCATGTTTTGTCTAGATATACTATTCAATTGATGACTACTGAGGAGGAGAGGATCCGTTTATTCATCAAGGGACTAAACTCCGAGTTACATGTATTGTCTGTTCATATTACCTCTACAGGAAAAAGTTTTAATGAGGTGACTAACTTTGTGAAGAAAGTAGAAGGAGTTAGACGTGATAGGCAGGCTAAGGTGTTTGCTAAGAAAGCCAAGAGCACAGGTAACTTTCAGGGTTCTTACTCCAGAGGTTCAGGTAGGCCGACGCTTGCAGCCCAGCCGATTTAGTCTGTCATGCCCGCTTCAACATGTATTTACTCAGGAACTCTATAACAGAATTTTATTCAGGATAGTTAGCGAAACGTACCTTCGGTGGGCAGCAGGCCATCTTTTAATCGCACTTGTTATAATTGTGGAGAACCTGGGCATATGAGGAGAGATTTTCCCCACCCACGCATGTTGGACCCCGCACAACAGCAGACTAGAGCAGTGGTACCTGCGGGAAATGGTAATACTGGTTGAGGACGTCCATAAGGTAGGTGATGAGGAAATCAATGAGGTCGTGGAGGTTGGGTAATTGTTAACGCAGGCAGAGGTCCGGCGTAGCCAGGCAGGGAAGTCGCTCGTCAAGTTGACAGGGCTCAGTGTTACACCTTCCTAGGCAAAAATGAGGCAGAGTCTTCTGACGCAGTCTGTGACCAGATGGCTAATGTGTTATTCGATCTGGATTCTACTTATTCTTATGTGTCTGTTTAGTTTGCCTTGGGATTTGTTATGATTTGTGATATACTTGATGCCTCCATCTATGTTTCTACCCCAGTTGGAGAGTCTGTCATAGTCATCCATGTTTATCGTGCTTGTTCTGTTATGTTTATGGGTTTCCAAACTTGGGCTGATTTGGTTATATGTCAAAGTCACATGTGTTTATCGTGCTTGTTCTATTATGTTTATGGGTTTCCAAACTTGGGCTGATTTGGTTATATGGGATATGAGGGACTTTGATATAATCTTAGGCATGACTTGGTTGTCCCCCTATTATGTTGTGCTTAACTGTAATACTAAGTATGTGACTCTAGAAATTCCGAGTAGGGAAAAGTTAGAGTGGAAGGGGTGTACAAGACTAATCCAGCTAAGATCATATCCTTCATTCGGGCTAGAAAACTGATGGGGCAGGGTTGTTTGGCATATTTGGCTCATATTTGGGATATTGAGGTTGAGTCTCCCTCTATTGAGTCTAATCATGTGGTGTCATAATTTAGAGAAGTGCTCCCTACTGATTTTCCTAGTATGCCTCCGGATAGAGAAATAGATTTTTGCATTGATTTAGAACCTGGTACCTGCCCCATTTCCATCCCTCTGTATCGCATGGCCCTGGTAGAATTGAGAGAGCTTAAGGCTCAAATCTAAGAACTTCTTGATAAAAGTTTTATCCATCCTAGTGCTTCCCCGTAGGGTGCTCATGTCTTGTTTGTTAAGAAAAAGGATGGTAGTATGAGGATGTGCATAGATTATTGACAATTGAATAGAGTCACCATTCAAAACAAGTACCATTGCCTCAAATAGATGAGCTTTTTGACCAGCTGCAAGGTGCATCAGTTTTCTCTAAGATTGATCTAAGGTCTAGTTACTATCATTTAAAGAGTAGGCCTGAAGATGTACCCAAGACGACATTTAGAACCCACTGTGGACACTATGAGTTTCTCTTTATGTTGTTTGGGTTGACACATGCGCCTGCAGCTTTCATGAGTTTGATGATGGGTGTATTCAAACCATTTCTCAATTCGTTTGTTACAGTTTTTATTGATGATATTCTGGTTTATTCAAAGAGTAAGGAAGAGCATGCCGACCATCTTCATATTGTCCTGGGTGTTCTTGGAAGACAAAAGTTATATGCCAAATTTTCTCTAAGTGTAAATTTTGGTTGGATTCAGTTGCCTTTTTGGGGCATGTAATGTCAAGGGAAGGGATAATGGTAAATCCCCAAAAGATTAAAGCCGTTAGGAATTGGGTTCGGCCTTGCTCTGTGACTGAAGTTAGGAGTTTTGTGGGGCTCACTAGCTACTGTCGTTGATTTGTGAAGAACTTTGCTTCTATTGCCACACATCTGACAAGGTTGACCAAAAAGAAGGTACCTTTCGAATGGACCGAAAAATGTGATGAGAGCTTTCAAAAGTTCAAGACTCTTTTGACCACAACACTTATTCTAGCACTACGGTGGAAGGTAAAGATTTTATTGTTTATTGTGATGCTTCACATTCGGGTTTGGGTGTTGTATTAATGCATGATAAGAATGTTATAGCTTATGCATCACGGCAGCTGAAGGTACATGAGAGGAAATACCCAACACATGATTTAGAGTTGTCAGCGGTAGTGTTTGCTCTTAAGATCTGGGGGCATTACCTCTATGGTATCAAGTGTGAGGTTTTTACTGATCATTTTAGTCTACAGCATGTGTTCACTCAAAAGGATCTGAATCTGAGACAACGAAGGTGGATAGAGTTACTCAAGGATTATGATGTGACCATCCAGTATCATCAGGGTAAGGCTAACGTGGTGGCAGACGCATTAATCTAGAAGGCGGTAACTATGGGTAGTCTAGCTTGCTTAGGTGCGACCAAGCGACCTTTGGGTAAAGAAATTCAACATTTGGAGTCTAAGTTCATTCAGTTAGGCATCTCAGAAAAAAGTGGGGTATTAGCTAGCATTGAGGTAAGGGCCACCTTCCTTGAAGAGATCAAGGCCAAACAGTTTGAGAATGAGAATTTAAATGAGCTTAGAAAGAAGACAGTGTCTGATAAGGCACAAGATGCGACCTTAGATACAGGGGATGTGCTCAGTTTTAAAGAAAGGATTTGTGTCTCTCGAGTAGATGACTTGATTTAGAATTTGTTGACAGAATCTCATGGTTTGCGATATTCTATTCATTCGGGTGTGACCAAGCTGTACCGAGACTTGAAGCGACTATATTAGTGGTCGGGCATGAAGAAAGATATAGCGGAGTTTGTGGCTAAATGCCAAAACTGTCATCAAGTAAAGTATGAATATCAAAGGCCGACAGCTTTGCTTCAGAGAATGCCAATTCCGGAATGGAAGTGGGAAAGGTAGCTGTGGAGTAGTTGGTCTTCCCAAAACTTTGGGAAATTTTGATTCTATTTGGGTAGTGGTTGACATATTGACTAAGTCAACCCATTTTATTCCAGTCAGAATAGATTACAATGCTCAGCAGTTGGCTAAGGTTTATGTGAAGGAGATAGTGAGGTTGCACGTAGTGCCCCTGTTTATCATATCGGACCGTGGTACGCGGTTTACCTCCAAGTTTTGGAGGAAATTAGATGATGAATTGGTCACACAACTCACTTTTAGTACAGCTTTCCATCCACAGACGGACGGACGGGTAGTCAGGAGGACTATTTAAGTGTTGGAGGACATGTTGAGGGCATGTGTGATTGACTTTGGAGGACGTTGTGATAAGTTCCTACCTTTGTGTGAGTTCTCATATAATAATAGCTATCACTTCAATATTGATATAGTACCGTTTGAGGCACTTTATGGGAGAGGATGTAGATCACCCATAGGATGGTTTGAGGCTGGAGATGTGAAACCTTTGGGGGTTGATTTGGTGAAGGATGTTCAAGATAAGGTAAAAAGCATCCAAGCTAAGCTTTTAGCAGCCAGAGTAGACAGAAAAAGTATGCAGACCACAAGGTAAGAGACATGGCATTTCAGACTGATGAGAAATTTCTTCTTAAGGTGTCACCTATGAAAGGGGTGATGAGATTTGGCAAGAAGGTCAAACTTAGTCCTCGATACATTGGACCATTTGAAATTCTTGATTGTGTAAGACCAGTAGCGTATAGATTGGCTTTACTTTCCAACCTATGGGAAGTTCATTCGGTATTTCATGTGTCAATGTTGAAGAGATATCTTGGTGATGGGGATTACATCATAAAATGCGACTCTGTGTTATTAGACAAAGACCTCTAATATGAGGAGAAACCGATTACAATTCTTGATCGTGATATACGAAAGCTGAGGACCAAAGAGATTAAGTCCGTCAAAGTTCAATAGAAGCATCGTCCAGTTGAGGAATCTACTAAGGAAACCGAGAAGAACATGCGAAACAAGTATCCCCAGTTGTTCGTCGATTCAGGTACTACTTTACTCTTATTTTAGCCCGTTTATTCTCGTTTGTCACTCGGGGACAAGTGATGGATAAATTGGTATCTATTGTAACGACATTTTCCTGTCATTCTAGAAATGTCATCAGGGAAATAAATTGGGTCAGAAAACTTTTTCGTAGTAACTTGAGAATTCCTAGCCTAGTCCAGATTTTGACGAAATCAGAGTCAATAAGATCTAGGGAGATCTGGTAATGAATGAGAGATATTTTTATCACATGAGTAGATAGCCAAGACGTTAAGGAATCCGTACAACTTTACAGAATGAATTCGGGCAAGTAGAACTCCTGAAACTAATCTTAGCGTGAACGGGTAGTTTTTGAGTGTCATAGGTTAAAGGTCTATTGTGAAATGAGTGTTTGAAACTCAACTTTTAACTCTCTATTTCCGTGTAAGCCGCCAGGGTAGAATTTTTTCCGCCAGGGCGGGGCCAATGTGGCGGGTTGGGTCCCGCTATGGCGCGCAAGTCGCGAATTAAACCCCAAAATGCTATTTTCTGCAAGTTTCGTTCTTGAGAGCTAGGAGACGACCCAAGGTGATTTCTTGATAGTTTTTCACTATTTTTTGTGCTAAAGGTAAGGATTTTACTCCCCTAATCTATTTTTCGATCAATAGAACTTAGATTTATGGGTGATTATCAATGAGGGTGGGTTTTGACATGAAACCTAATGGTGTAAAATGCCCTAAGTTGGGTATTGGGATCTCGGGTTTGGCCTAGGGTTGATAATTTCGATTGTAATCGGGGTAATTAGACCTTAATTATTGATCCTCGTATTGAATTAATTGTTTGTAGACCTAGAACAAGTAGAAAGAATCCGAAAAGGGAAGAATCAAGTTTCTTATGAGGATTCAAACTTGGTTTCGAGGTAGATGATTGTTTGATTTCATGCTTGTGTGATGTGTTAGTATCTGCTTCATTGTAATGTATATGTGTATGTGAATGTTGCACTATTGATCACATCTAGTGCAAATGAGTATGAATGAATGATTGTATACCATGAATCAACACTTGATGGTATGATTTAAGAGAATATACATTGTGATTGTGAGTGTGGCTTGTTGAATGGATCGGGTGTTACGCTCTAACACACTAACTGGGATCGAATGTCACGTATCGACATACATATTGGAACGAGTGTCGCACTCCGACACACTAATTGAGATTGGGTATCACGTTCCGGTGCACTAACAGTTTAGGTATGGGTTCCATGAGACGACCATTGACTTGTCATATATGCGTATTTACTTTATATTAGAACACTACAAAAAAAAACTATGTTTACCGACAGGCAAAATCCGTCACTATCCATTGAAAATCCGTCACTAAACATGATTAGTGATGGATTAGCAATGGATTATTGACTGTTGCTATTACGCTCGTTAGTAAGCTCTTAGTGACGAAAATATGAGTTCCGTCACTAGTTTAGCGACGTCATAGTGACGAAATATTTCCATCGCCACTAGTTAGCAACGGACATAGTCGTCATTATATTTATACAATTTTGTTGCTAATTTCATAATTCTAGGACGAAAAAATGAGTTCCTTCACAAGTTTAGCGACGTAATAGTGACGAAATATTTTCGTCGCCGTTGTTAGTGACGTACATAGTCGTCATTATATTTATATAGTTTTGTTGCTAATTTCATAATTCATTTCGTCATTTTGGATAAATTTGCGACAAAATTTCCGTTGCAACATATTCTGTCTCAACATATTAGGCCTTCAATAATCCGTCGCCAACATTCTTTACATAGCAACGACCAAATAGTCGCTAAATTTGTTGCTACATACATTTGGTTAAAATATCTAAAGAAAACTATCAAGTACTCTTAAATGAACCTACATTCATCAAAATGTTACTACACAATTCGTAGTTTCCAAAAAACATGACAATATCAAAAACTAAAGTTGCGGGAGACTAAGGGATATGATCGTCACTTGAAATTGAGGGATCAACCTCATCCACATTAGTAGTAGGAGACACTATGGGTGTCACAAGCGATGGGTTGCCAGAGGGATCAGTAATCGCTGCTTGCACCTGCTTAACAATAATAGGAATAAGATGACTAGTAAGTGTAGGCATCATTTGCTTTACAAACTCATCCATTTTTGTTGTCGATGTTGATTGAGAAAATGGAGGTGGTAATGATGATGAGCCACAACGATTCTGCCCATAGTAATTTTGTGCTTCAAATCCAAGACCGTATATTCAAGACAACATGATAATCCGAAGAACCCAGCCTACTCAACATGATAATCCGAAGCTGCAAAAAGGTAAAATTGAAGAACAACAAATTCAAGACAATAAGAAGAAATTAGGTAAGCCCCTTCCTAACAATAACTGTGATGATGCTTACACTAACAGTGAAGTTCATTTACACAATGGTGTAAAAGAACCAATTATCAAGAATATTACTCCTTTGCAACATGCACATAACCATGCCCATGGGGAGATTGTGATTTTATCTGGTAACATAAAATTCTCAGTTGACAAATACTAGAACCCAACATCAAATGGACAAGAACAGCCCAGGGAAATCAAAATCACCAACAACCTCCTCAAACTAATACCAAGAAGAACTTTTTGTTTTTAGATTAAGATTGGTGTTATGAATTAAATGGTGCATGCAACTTATGCAACTTACAGAAATGCCAATTCACATAGGATGAGAGCCCAGGAAAAATCCAGATTTATACATTCATTGATTGAAATTTGAAAAAGAGGGCAGGGTCGAGAGCTACAGAAATAAAGAAAAGAAACGCGACGTTTGAAACCTGATTGACCAAGGTACGAAACCATCACTTTCACTGCAAGCCTTAACTTGATGCTAACTACTTTTTCTTCTTACTACCACCAGCCTTTGATTTATTGTTAGCAACTCCTTTCTCAGTGGTGTGAGCTGTTTCCTATCTTTTAAGTGGAGCGGATGTGCTAACTGGAGCAACTCCTTTCTATTGCCTTTGTAATTCTATCAATATTGAATCCATTTTCCTTTAACAGAAAGTTAACTCAATCCCTAAACCAGCTCCCTATACGATTATTCAATCATATGTTGCTCGTCTAAGGCACAATAAGTCCAAACATGATATTCCTATTGAGTTTACTAGCCCTGTTAACACCACTAAACAGGGGTTGCCAGTAGTGGTATTTTAGAAAGATGATTGCATGGTCAAGATGGCAGCCAAATGTAAGTTTACTCTTGTTGGATAATGACTTACACCTGAATTACACTAAAATTGCACCAAAAAAAGCCTCAAACAGCACCTAAATTACCCTGAAGCAGCATCAGATTAACTCTAAAACAGGACTGAAATTGCACCAAAAACAACTGCACTAAAGTCACACTAAAACAACACTAGAATCGCACTAAAACAACACTAAAATTGCAGCGGAAAAGCATTAAAACAACACCTGCATTATATAAAAAAAGCAGCAACAAATACGCTCTAAAACACGACTAGAATTGCACATAAAACAACTGCACTAGAGTCATACTAAAATAGCAGTAGGATTGCACTAAAAACACTAAAATTGCAACGGAAAAGCATTAAAACAACACTTGCATTATATCAAAAAAGCAGCAACAAATACGCTCTAAAACACGACTAGAATTGCACAAAAAACAACTACATTAGAGTCACTCTAAAACAGAAGTAGGATCGCGCTAAAACAACACTAAAATTGCAGCGAACAAGCATCAAAACAACACCTGGATTGTACAAAAACAACAGCAACTAATATGATTTTGAACCTATGAAACCTGACATTTACATTTTTAGATAGGCTTTAAAGTTTGACTTACATGGACAATTCGAGAACGTTCACCAACAAATGATTTTCCATCATGACCATGTGTGTGAACGTGCAAATGTAACTCACTCGGTGTTGGATCTCTACCTTTTTCAATAGCCTATAAAAAAGAAATCACTTAATTATTAGATATAATCATATTAAGTGCATATTATGTGTTCAGATACAAACATATACCAGACAAAAAGATGTTAGTTAAAGAGTTCGTAAAATATATACTCAAAGGTTTCTTGTGATATTCTCCAATTGAGATAGAGCCGCCCGTGTGAGTCCCAACAGCAACTTCACGGCCATCACGACGATTCTTTGCATTTATTTCTGCCTTCTTAATACACTCATCACTTCCCCAAAGTTGCATCCATCTTTCCCACACATGTTCAGGTGCAAAACCTGGCCTAACTCCTCCCTCTTTTATTTTGAAAGTAATACATTAACATCCTGTCTATAAATGTGAATACACTTACTAAACTCACTAACGATGAAAAGCTAACCTTGAATTCTCCAAAATAAGCAGTTCTTACATCATTTGAGACACCTTTTTAATTGATTCCATTAGGACCAACTTCACTTTGAAAGACTTGGATATGAAATTAGAGCATGATTTAGATGGTTCCAACCCGTGTAAAGTCGAAGAGGTCATTAGGAGGGTTATCATAAATAAAAAATAATATTAGTATCTGACATTATATTTATCAGTGCTAACAGAATGAATAATCATATTACTGATAAGCTAGCAGTAAAATAGGCAAAAAAATAAGCTAGCAGTTATAAACTGATTTTCAGATTGCACATGATCTGGAAATTTTTTACTTGGAATTCTGCCCAGCAATTTTGCAAATTTTTTACTTGAAAAATCTGCAAATTTGACAGATGCATCACCTGAGAATCTTGCGCAGCAGTTCTAATGTTCTAAAGATTAATAAGCTAGGCACCTAGCAGATGCATCACCTGACTAAAAATAAAATTTTAAGGGTGCATACATGGATGTACTAAGAGCAAATGGTATTACAATGAATAAGTAACAACAACTAGCCTGCAACTTGAAGTGTATATAGAGAGTATTCTAGGCAACAAGACAATAAATGACAAAGGCTACATGCTACAACCCTGAAAATTCAATGAAATTCACACCAATCTCTTTCATAGTTTCTTACTATCGTAAAGAAAGATCAGTTCATTCTAACAGAAGCAACACATAATAAACATTTGTTGTTCATATAGATTGAGTTCAAAAACATTTCAATAGAAGCAACACAAAATAATTCTCAGCACGTCACTACGACTCTTGACAAAAATCCTAAATGTACACCTATAGATTGAGTTTAAAATTTTCATTTACAGTAGGTAAACTGAAGCTGCTGCAAATGTCGTCTGTAGTGTGCATTTTGAGCTTCCAGCTTGAAAGCTTAACCAATTCCTTCAAAAGCAGTATGGTCCAAGCATGTAAAGCCAAATAGAATACAAATACACTTTAAAAATAGGTACAAATACACTCCAAAAATAGGCAGCCGCAACTTAAGGGTGGAGAAATGACATGATATTAGAAACAATATTTCTTTGTTAGAAAATTAGGGAAGAAGCCTAAGTAGAAAGACAAGGGTAAGTAGAAACAAGTTACAAGAATAAAAGCAAAAGAATGGACTAACCCTGCATGAGTTATAAAGACAAGGGTCCGTGTATGACTATTACCTGTTGGGCTACCCTGAGGAGACAGACCCTGACCTATTACATTACTCTGATTTGGTGTAGCAGCAACTGTTTTGGTATGATCTATTGGGTTACTGTGAGAAGACATACCATGACCTATTACATTACTCTGATTTGGTGTAGCAGCAACTGTGTTGGTATGATCTGATGGGTTGTTCTGAGTAGACAGACCCTGACCTATTAGGTTATTCTGATTTTGTTTAGCTGGAGGTGCCTCAGAGATGGTTGGACTGATACTTTGAGTTGACGTTACAATGGTTGGGGTACCACCTTGTTGAGGAGAAACTATAGTGGGCATGGGAATAGTTGGCATGCTTACACGAATAGCAGGATTACTCCTACCTGAGGATTTGCCACGACCTCTGCCTCGAGCCATAGCTGTAAACAAATATAAAATATATATTGTTGTTAGATCATGACTGTTACAAAATAGAATAAAACATTATCCATAATAATGAGAACTATTACAGTAACAGAAAGTAAAGTGAAACACTTATCACAATCAGTAAATAACTGTAAGTAATTCTAATAAGGAATCATCTATATTAACTGTAAGTAATTCTAATAAATGCATAGTTAACTAGTATGTATAACAATTATTAAAGCTGCAATTAGTAGATTTAATTAAGAGTTAGAATAAGAAATAGAATACACATAGTTAAAAGCAGAAACTAAAGAACATTATCCTAAATTAAAAATCAGAAACAAAGAAAATACATTGAAGATACAATAGTTTTTTCAAGCACTAGTCACTATTTATGTCTTCTTCAAACTCTTCCTCTTCCTCATTTTCAGGACATTCAATCTTATTTCAAGCTAAACGAAATGGAAAGAGTTCATAGTTAAAATATCATATTTTCATAACACCCAAACGACTAAAATCTCTATTTTTAGTGGTCGACTGAAATGATTCCTAGTTAGGGTTCATATTTTGCAACTGGAAAACAATGGTATGTCGAGTTGAAACTGAAAAACAATGGTATGTCGAGTTAATCTGATATCCTAATGCAGGAATCTGACCGAAATTCCTAGTGGAGGTTCCTATTTTTCAGAGAGAAAGAGTTGAAAGTCATCAAAATCGAAGCTGGCCTAGATGTGGAAATACTGCAAATTGGAGCTAGGGTTTTAATTTTATAACTGGTTCTTGATAAACCTAGCTTGGGAAATTGATTCCCCTTGATATCTGAACCAACAAATCCATTTGGGGAAAATGGAGTTTGAGCGCTTACCTTTCTAGATGGAGACTTGCTTCAGAGCTTCGAGTGTTACCAGCTTCGAGATGGAGTTTGAAATCGAAATGGAGTTTCAGAGATGAAGGGCTTGGAGTTTCAGACCTTCATCTCTGAAAAGTGCAAGTGTGAGTGTGAATATTTTGTGCCCTAAGAATATATCACTTTAAAAAATATTCCAACGGAATTAGTGACGGATTATGACATCCATCACTTTCAAATAAATATATATATATTTAAAAAATATTATATTGACGGATATTTTTGTCACTATATAATATAAATTTTATAAAAATATATATAAAAGTTTAGCGACCTTTTTTTCGTCACTAATTCCGTCGCAAAATATTAATTTAATTCGTCACCCTTATTTTGTTACTAAATCCGTAGGGAAAATTAGGCGCCAAAATTTCGCGCTAATATTTAGCGACGAATTAAATATTTCATTGCAAATCCGTCGCTATATTATAAATCAAAAAAATCAATTGTTAATCTTGCAACAAAATGGTAATTTCGTCGCAAATCTGTCGTTATATAGTGACGGAATATAGTTCGTTGCAAATATCCGTCGCTAAACGCTGTTTTTTTAGTAGTGGAAATGTGGAAGGGTACATTGCTCCTGAAATGATAATTGATATTGTATATGTTCGGTATATGCGTGTTTATTATGGTGTGACTACTTGTATATGTTTCACTTATTGGAATAGTCGCGTGATTCTACCAATACACTGTGGTTGTGTACTGATGTTGCACTTGCTCTTTCTTTGTTGAGTACAGGGCATCTTCAGGCGGCTACTGACATACCTCATCTAGGAGATCAGTGATCAATCGAATTCAAGGGTGAGCTAGTTCTTCCAGGCTGCCATGAGTTCTATATGTTTTAGCCAACTCTTTTTGGACCCAGAATTTCTAGTTAGATATTCATATGTTTAATTGGGTTGTACCCATTTTATTTAGACTTGTTGAACTTTAGAGTTTTGGTACACTGACTTTAGGATTCTAGGAAATATTTTCGCAATATTTTGATAGTCGTTGTTAGACCTTTGGAGTTTATGGGAACTCTATTTTGATTTCTGCATTTAAAATTGATTCTGTATCTTTAAATGTTTAGTTCTTGGGTTAGCTGATTAGTATTAATGATTCTCCCACCGGAGGGTTAGTGTGGATGTCAATCACGACGATCTGGGTCGTGAAACAAATGCCCTCCAACTAAAACAAAATATCCAGAAGTGGATCATTTGTCAGAGGGTGACACTGCCCAATCTACATCTGAATATTCAATAAATTTCTCATGTCCTCAATCTTCTTAATAGTAATCATTTTCCTAGAGTGGATTTTATGTATAAAAAATGCAAATAGCTACATTCCAATAACTATCACATGGAGAATTCAAGAACTGACTTACGACACTAACCGGAAAGGTAATATCAAGTCGAGTCACTGTGAGATAATTTAAATTTTATACCAAGTTTCTATATATTGCTAGATCGTTAAGAGACTCCTCTTGACCAAGTAGAAGCTTAACATTTGAATCCATTGGAGAATCAATAGGCCTTCAATATGTCATCACTATCTCTTTCGAAATGATCAAGTGCATACTTCCTTTGTGAAATAGTAATTCCTAATTTGGATTGAGCAATCTCAATGCCCAAAAAGTACCTCAATCGACCAAGATTTTTAGTCTGAATGTGCTGAAAAAGATGATGTTTCAATTTAGTAATTCCTTTATCATCATTGTCTGTGATATATAACTATGTCATTAACCTACACTATCAAATACATGCACAAATTTAAAGCAGAGTGGCAATATAACACAGATCAACTTCATATCGTACTATGCCAAACTCCTGAATAACCATGATAAACTTTTCAAATCATTCTCGAGGAGGCTTTTTCAATCCATAGAGTGCTTGTCATAATTTGCAGACCACGTTACTAGAATCCCCTTAAGCAACAAAATAAGGTGGTTGCTCCATTTATACCTCATCTTCGAGATCTCCAAGAAGAAAGACATTTTTAATATTCAAATGACATAGAGACCAATGAAAAACCACAACCATGGATAAAAAGAGACAAACTGAAGCAATCTTGACCACATGAGAGAAAGAATCACCATAATCAAGACAAAAAAATATATGTATAACCCTTGGCCACTAGTAGAACTTTTATGCGATCAATTTGTCTATTGGGGCCAACCTTCACTATATATATCCATTGACAACAAACTGTTAATTTTCTAAAGATAGAGGAAAAAGCTCCCAAGTACCGCTACAGTGAAACACAAACATCTCTTCAATTATAACATGTTGTCAGTCTAGATAAGAGAAAGAGCCTCACCTATAGTCTTAGAAATAGACATAAATGATTGTAATGACCTAGAAGTTCATTTTTAGATTTTTTTGTAAAATAACTATTTCCCCCCCCCCCCCCCACCCCCGCGGATATTGATGTGAAATGATTTCTAATTAAGTTTTAAAATTTGGTTTCAAACTTTTAATGGAAGTAGTGAATTATGAATGTTTTTGGTTTCAAAAGACTAAAGTTGTTACAAAAGTAGTTTTTGATGCCTCTTGGAGTTTCGAGTGTCGGAATAGAATAATGTCGATTCCATCACTCCTGAAATGTGTAAATTGGTCTAGGAGAGTTGTCGGTTTCAAATTTCGAGTCTTTTTTGAGGATTTGAGGTCCTAAGTTGGAAATTTGTGGAATTTTAGCCTTTGGGTTGACTTTGGTCAACATTCGAGGTTCAGATGCTTGAATTGGATGACTATTTAAATTTCTTAGGTTTATTAAAGTAGTTTAAAATGCATTTGGATGACTATTTAAATTTTTGAGTTTATTTTCAAAATCAGATTTTATAGAATAGTGAATGAAGAGAGGAATTAATCAATGTATGAAGTATTTCAATGAATATTAATTGCTTATTAGTTTTCCTAGGTTGGTCAAATTATATATTTTCAAGACTAATTAACTACTCTATCAAGGGTATAATAGGAAGAATATGGTAATTTATGCATTGATTTTAAAAAATGACAAGTAATATGGTCCAACTATTTATAGAAATGGATAACATATAAAAAGGAACGGAGGGAGTATGATTCTTTTGCAATGTTTAGATGACTTATATTTAATAATGGTGATTTAATAAAATTATTCCTACTGCTTCTTAATATGTATATCAAGTCAATGTGAACAACTATTGTTGGACAAAGGGAGTAAAATACACATTTCTATATCTCTTCCTAGTCCTGGTCGAATATAATTAAATCTCTCATTATTGAGCATTAATTATAAAGTCAACAATTCTAAAAAAATAGCCTTAAATTAGAGTATTGTTAAAGCAATGATATAATATAAAGAGTTTGGCAGTACCATGATTTGTTTTCTCCATCACTATTGAAAGCAACTAATTTGTTCGTACGTATTTTATTTCCCTTTGGAAGAGTAATTAGGAACTTAAAAGAAAGAAATAGGTAATTTAGGTACACCGGCCTTATAATACAATTGTTTCCTTGTTTTTAATCATCAAGTAACAAATGACTAACAAGTAGGTAATTATATTGTGTAGAATAATTCTAATTTCGTAACTTAAAAGTGAAATAAATAATTTGCTTTAAATTATTACCAACTATATTATATGGTAAGAGATTTCCAACACCTCAACCAGCTAAAAGTAATATATTATATATATCTTCTCTTTTCGGGGTTAAACTATATAGAACAAGAAAAATAGACTGACGATACTAACCTATGTACGTATGTAATCCTTTTAATAATGTCAACCATTGTTCTTAGGAAATTGGAGGGTCACAATGTCAAAAATGGAGACAATTGAGGCTTACACGTATGTAACTACATTAATTAATGCATAAAATACTACTAATAATGTAACTATATTAATGCATAAAATACTAATAATAATGCAACTACATTAATGCATAAAATATTACTAATAATGTAATTAATTAAACATTGTGGAATTAGAAAGAGCATCGATTATTAGTTGGTATTATGTACGATGACTAATTGTACGAATTCAGTTACCTAATAATGAATCTTACTTTTCCACTATCAAAAGATTTTTTCTTAAAAAAAAAAAAAGGATAGTGAAGACATCATCAGAAGACACATTTTAAGATTATACATAAGGATTTGATTCATCACTGAATAAACCTCAAATAAGCACTAATATAACATCCAAGAGGTTAGTTCATTTCTTCTTATCTCTCACAATCTTTGTTCTTCATCTAGCTTCTCAATCATCATGGATATTTGTTTGTGTTACAAATATATTTTTATAATCATGGTATTATCAAGGTCTGCTTGAATACAACTCTAACAATTTTATATATACTTTCTATCTAGCTTCTACCAGCACAGATACGAGTAATTTACTTTCTACTTTCATGTTTGTGCCTTTGTGCGATTCTACAATGTTCCCTTAGATATCCTGTTTGAATTAGCTTTTGGATTATGACTTATAAGTCAAAAGTTAAGTTAGAAATCCTTAACTTATAACTTTTGACTTATTTTCATTATTTTCGCTTAGAATCAAGTGTCTTTTAGAAATACTCTGTATCTTCACGAGGCAATGGTAAAGTTTGCGTACACTCTATTCTTCACATACCGGTCATTTGTAAGATTTCACTGAATATGTTGTTGTTATAATGGTAAAGTTTGCGTACACTCTATTCTTCACATATAGGTTACTTGTAAGATTTCACTGAATATGTTGTTGTTATAATGATAAAGTATGCGTATACTCTATTCTTCACATACCGACCACTTGTAAGATTTCACTGAATATGTTACCGTTACTGTTGTTGGCTTAGAATCAAGAGCTTAAAAACTTTTATTTAATTTTATCCAAATACTATCAAAGTGCTTAAAATAAAAATAAAAAAGCTTTTAACCCATTTATAAGACTGGGGTTATGATACTATCTACTGAGGTTGAATTTACCTAATGTTGTGACTAGTGCCACCAAGAAATTTGGTGGTATGGTTGTGATCAACTCATTAACCAGAGCTTTCGGTTTCGAGTTTGGAAATAGAGAAATCCCCAATACAGAGCTCTTCTCCCTTTAATAGGCCATGCGTAATGCGTATCCAAATTAGTTGGGACGGTGGATATCGGATACCGGGTGATTATACCCAAAAAAGGGATATGGAAACATTAGTATTTAACTTTTCTGTTTGAAATTGTGACAGGTGAAGATCTGAAGCTGTGGTTCTTTAAGTCCTCAACTGGATTATGCATTCTCTAAAGGACTGCTTTTGTTTGAAGAAAACTAGACATCTGCTTGAGACCCATGATACTCTTGCTTCTGAAACTTGTTGTGAGTTAACAAGGCCACTTGAGTCTGTATAAATCTGAATTAGTGTTAAATAATTTTTTTATAATTTTGATGTCCTTATGATATTTTCTCCTTTTACTTGTTCTGTGTAATCGTCTTTGATACTTCACCAATTAGAATATAGTTTGAACATCCAACCGGAAATGTTTCGTTCAATAGTGTCCAACTTTAAATAATAATGAGTATAATGGAGAATATGTTGATATCTACGGTATTATGTGAGACTAGGGTCTATCGAAAATAGTCTCTCTACCCTTCACTAGGTAGGGACCACCCTCCGTACACCACATTTGTGAGATTACACTGGATATATTGTTGTTACTATCCATAAGTAGTTGTTTATTTTAAGGTGTAATTTAGCATGTGAGACGATGTTGTATTGCAGTTAGTGTGAATGATGTGGAGGCCTTATATATTCTATACAAGAGACTAAGCAGCTCCATAATTGATGATGGTCTTATTCACAAGGTATGAAAATTAGAAGTAAGCACTTTTGTGTACATATATAGCAAGAGATGGATAACTAATGTAGTTGAAATAAGCTACCATATAATGTTCAATGCAGGAAGAGTTTCTCCAAGCACTTTTCAGCTGCAGCCATAGGCAGAATCTTTTTGCAGATAGAGTAAGTAATTCATCCTTGAGTTAATTATTTTGCTATAGTGGCTTCACCATTATTTAATTCCTTCTTGTCACATTATTGTTGCAGTTGTTTGACGTATTTGATCTTAAGCGTAATGGAATTATTGAATTTGGAGAATTTGTTCGATCCTTAAGCATATTCCATCCAAAGGCTCCTCAACAAGATAAAATCACATGTACGTACGATATATTGTTATTACTTTAGATGGATCCTACATGTCTAAAACATATACTACTTGTTATTGAAATACAGTGCTCGCTGCTAACTTTAAATTAAATATTCTTGTGGCAGTTGCATTTAAAGTGTACGACTTGAAGAACACTGGATACATAGAACGCGATGAGGTAAACAACTCAAATGAACATCGTATCGTTGTCGGAACTATCATATCACTTTTGTTTCTTAGAGGAATTTATAGGCCTCCGATCCGTTTACTCTGCTCCTTTAATCTGAGTTCACATTTCGTACACTCTTTGTGCACTGTCGATAATAGACATATTTAACGTAAAGAAAAGATTTATTAGTGAATAAGTGCTGCTTTAAGTGCCGTATGTAAATTAGAATTCAGAAAAGGGTCAAAGTTGTCCTTGAACTTAGTAAAATGGTTTATATTTGCTCTACGTTGATAGTTGAAGTTAGATTTACCCTTGCCATCATCAAAATGGATTAGATTTTGCCCTTATTTTGACTAATAACGTAACCTTTCCCAACACGTAGGGAAAAAAGGTCAAAATTATCCTTGAACTAATGTAAAATGGTCCAAATTCGCCCATAAACTTTGAAGAATAGGGTCACTATTCCGACAGTGGCACCACCATCATCTTCGAAACTGTAAAGCTCCAACGGTAGGTCTCTATGATCTCGAGCTCAAATTAATCACCCTCAAGCTTCCAATCATCTCAAATGGAACTCAAACTATTAACAGATAAATTTGGACTTTTTTCAATTAGAATATTGTATATTGCAGATTGTAATGAACTAATATCTGCATTTTGAAGCATACAACATTTACAGATTGTATAGAGTTTGCTGAAGCAATTGGCTTGTCAAACTGACGAATACTTGTACAGTTAAGTAGTTATGTACAATTATATATGTTTTAACTAGAAATGGATCATAACTATATTTTGGAGGCAATACATCCATGTTAGAAGATGATGCATATATATAAAATTTCTATTATCATGCTTTATTTGTGAAGGTCCTTATGTGCCAACTATGAAGGTTAAAGATGGAGAGGTCACAAGAGCCATTCGCAAAACTTGACAATAATATAATGACTCTGACAAAAGATTAGTCAAGAAAAACCACAAAACTAGGAAGCTACTGATGAGTGGGATTAGTATAAATGAATACGATCTGATCTCATCTTGTGAATCAGCCAAGGAAATCTGGGATCTATTGAGAACAACGTATGAGAGTACTGAGGAAACAAGAAAATCTAAGATAGATATATTTACTACTCAATTTAAAAGTTTCACCATAAAAGAAGGTGGATATATTCATGAACTGCGTACCAGATTCTCTACCATCACCAATGAACTTATGTTCCTTGAAGAACATGTCCCTGTGTGCAAGCAAGTCTCTAAGATACTGGAAATTCTTCCCAGATCTTGGACAAATGAATTTGTGTTTGGCGATCATGAGACAAGGGATCCTGACGTGGTGACTCTGAATGCACTATTTGAACATCTTCAAGTTCATGAGTTGCACAGAAAAAAGGAGGGTCTCATTCTCAAGGGCAAAGACAAGAGGACAGATCTTATTGATGAGGCTTATCAGAAGAAAGATGCAAAGAGAGACGAATCACTTGCTTCCAAGGTGTCACAAAGTGAAATCCATGAAATAGATGAGAACATAGGCTATTTCACTCAAAGACTTCAAAGAATCGTGAGAGAACATGGAGGTTTCGTGAAGAAAGAAAATCATGGCAGGGCTACGAGCTCAAGTGACGTGTGTTACAAGTGTGATCAACCAGGTCACTCCATTAGAGACTGTCCTATGCAAAAAGCTAACCACGGGGAATATGTCAAGACTGGAAAAGGTAAAGACAAAGAGGGGAACCAGGTCTGTGACAAGTCAAGAAGAAGAGAAGTTGCTTATCAAGCGGTGAAGAAGGATCTGACTGCATGGGAAAATTCCTCAAGTGATTCAGATGATTCTGAACACTTTGATGATATTTTCATGGCAAAGTCAGATGAGGAAAATGTTGATGAAAAGGTAACTCTATCATATTTCAAGCAAAACTTGAATACCTTTTCTACTAGTAAATTGAGAAAGCTAAATGTTGCATTACTTGATTTGATAAGTGAGCTAACAACTGAGAATGATCTCATGAATAATAGCCTAGACATCTCTCAAGATGGAAAAATTGTTTGACTTTTAGTTGCCCAAATATCTGATATTGAAAGTCAAATGGTTGTCTTTGAAGCTGAAAATCTAGAACTGAAGGAAAAGATAAAAGGGGTGACTACTGCAGTTTTTAAAGGAAAGAACGAGGCCAACATATTGCAATTGGATCTTGAAAATAAGCTGCACACTGCTGAAATGAAGATGAAACTGGCTCTAGAAAGAAATCTTGTGTTGGAGAGAGACCTGGTCCGTGTAAAGAGGAATTGGGAAAATCCCTCAAATGGACCACTTCCTCTAATATTCTTACAAATCTAATTGGTCAAGGCAACAACAGTAGAAGAGGGCTGGGTTGTGAGAAGATAGATTCCTCATACAATCCTCACAGTAAAAATGTGTTTGATGTTAATAATCTATTGTGTGTGCATTGTGGTCGAGATAGACATCTTAAGAAAGGTTATTCGATTTTGAAAAAATATGAAGGAAGTTCGTCAAACTATTCCAAATAGAGGAATAGACTGAAGAAGGTACCTGGTCTTGCTTTTGGTCCCGAGTTGAAGAAAATCAGTTTGCCTTACTGGACAAAAGATTTTCTTATCACTCTGTTATCTGCTTACTGGGAACTTTGTCTCAAATGGGTTCCCAAGGGTAACAAGTAATTTTTTTATGCAAGTGAGAGGAGGTAGCATCAGTCAGTGTTGGTTTATGAATAGTAGATGCTCAAAGCACATGACTAAGAAAACAACAAAACCTCCTCTCTCTCAAGGCACTTTAAGGTGGAGGTGTCTCTTTTGGTAATGGCAAGAAATGGCATTCTTGGTGTAGGCAGAACTTGAAAGTATGTGGAACACTCTTTTGAAGTTGTGTACTATGTCAATAGGTTGAAGTACATTCTTTCAAGTGTTTCACAGATTTGTGATGAACAAAATGAAATTAAGCTCTTATAAAAAAATGTGTTGTCACAAACTTGCTCTCTCGGGTGATGATCTTGATAGAAAAGAGATGCAATAACATGTATATTGCTCATATGAATATTGCTCGTAGTGACAGTCTCACTTGCCTTAGTACTCAAAGTGAGAATGTTGAGGTATGACATGAAAGACGTGCTCATGTGAGTGTTTCTCTACTGCACAAACTTGTGTCAAGGGACTTGGGAGATAATGAGTTCAGAGAGCAATTACCTCTTTTAAGAGGATAATTTGAGCAATTACCTCAAATTGAGAAATAGTATGTTTTATACATTTGAGTATGAGTATATATTTATTGGGAGTAATATTGAGCATCGATATGTGGATTAATTTAATATATAGACCTAAATTGAGCGCAACCAATCCAAATGATTTATATAGTTGATTAATTAGTTATCTTCGCGTTCCTTTTCAATTGAAAATATTATTTTCGACGCTAATTTAATGATGTGATAGCTGTAAAAAAAAATGTTTAGAACTTAACTCACTCTAAATAAGATTGGATTCATCACAAGTTGGATCGGAGGAACTCAAAATTTTAAATTTTCACGGATGGATGTGTAATGTTGTAGCTGAAGGACATGGTATTGGCTGTTCTCGAAGAATCAAAATTGACACTTGCAAATGATGCCATTGAAGCAATCGTCCATAAGGTTAAAAAGATTTATTAGTATATAATTTCATAGATGGGAATGAATGTTATAGTATGATTTTGTGCAGACAATTGAAGAGGCAGATCTAAATGGTGATGGACGGATTGATCCAAAGGAGTGGAAGGAATTAGTTACGAGATATCCTTCTTTGATAAAGAATATGACACTCCCATACTTAGAGTGAGTGAGTTCATTTTTATAATTCTAAAGTTTTTTATAATTAAATAATTAATTGGGATGAACTCTAATTAATATATTGTAACATGATTCCAGGGAAGTAACTGTACTATTTCCATGCTTTGTCATGACAAGTAAAGTTCGCGACTCACAATTGGTATATGGAAACTAATCGATCATCAACAACTTTAAGAGATTATTTTTCTTCTTTCTTCTTCTTATATTATATATATTTGATATTTAATAATTTTATAGTTATGTATTTTTAGAATACCTATCATCTAGCATCGGGATTATATAAGTGTATGACTAAATAAAAATTCACTAGTTGTTTGCATTTAATGAAGATTTGAATTTAAATCATTCACATAATAATTCACTAAGAACATTTATTTTTCTTAAAAGGTAATGTTAAATAAATGGCCAAAAAATTTGGTCAGAATTTGACCAGAAATTTAAATAGTCTATAATATCTTTTTTATTTTAAAATAAACTGATCTTTTTTCCATTTTTTAATTAAAAGGTATTAAACTTAAAAGGATAAAAATGTTCAAAAAGGTAAAATAACAAAGTGTGAAATATATTATTTTACCATTCTGGGCAAATTTCGTGGCCAAAAGGATTTTTCCCTTCTTAAAACTCTACGATTTATTGAGTCTTAAAACATGTGAATCGGTCAAAATTAAAATGGAATTAAAATTTCATTAAGCGCTCATTAAAGCATTAATTGCTAAGTTGAAACCAATATAACGTATTGATTTCATTTTAATTTTCATCCAAATAGGTTGTTTATAAACTATTTGGTTTATTATAGGGAAAATTATGCGAGTTGGCAAACATTATTGATTTATTATTCAACGATGTTACAATTTGAATTAGTTACCGTGTGTAATTATAGTTTAATATAGTTTACTATTAATTATGAAACCACGAATGTATACGAAAAGGAGAAAAAAAAAGCATTTCCAAATTTATATATTCATTTATACAAATCTAACTTTTTTTCTCCCCACTCTTCATTCTTTAATTCTCTCCTAAAATCACTCACTCGTATATTTATTAATTTTGAAGTTGATGACAGCTAATACCTATTGCCATTAAGCAAAATCAAGTTACAAAGCAGGTTAATTTGTTTAATTTTTGCCTAATTTTAGTGCAAGGTTCGCATGTATGTAATGTCTAAAAAACGCCATTGTATTCATATCAAATTCTTCAAATATGCATATTATGTCTGAAGGATGAAATAACAAATGTGATAACGTTTTCATAGTATCTGAACAACACAGTGTAAGAGTAGGTTAAACATTCTCTCTTATTAACTACTAAAAACTATCAAGAAGGGGTTAATGGTTGAAGAATGGAAAAAAAAAAAAAAAAAAAGAGGAAATACAAACTAAAATGAGAATATTTGTTACTTGCCTGTGGTTAAGTTAAAAAAAATGTGTGAAAAACACAGTATTACATTTTTTAATCTGGTCTCAATTATTTACCAACTAGGAAAAACAACTTCAAGAGGATCATCAGTCAAATAGAGTAACCCTAAACTTCATTTCATTTTGCTTGTCACAACCAAATTTACTACAAAGAAGTTTTCAAATGTCTTATTTTACCTAATCTTCATTTTTGACATGCCATAATTACTATGCTTAAGATTGAGATCAATGATATGTCCATGAACGAACTCCTTTTTAGTGTATGAATGAGTGTAACACAAACAAGCTCCTCAGTTGTCCCTTCAGTTCCACATATAGCTCTGGTCTATGACCAAAAGCATCAGAAATTGGAACGATATAAACATCTTGACAACTTCATCATCGGAGCTTCTTTTGTTTACTTCCAACTGTAATATTAAACCCTCCAAACATAGGTATGTAAATGTAGGAACTTCTCCATTAGAAACATAAAGAGTTAACAGAAACCCAAACTTCTATTTGGTTACGATAAAGATTTGGTTGCCAGATGCACTGCCCTACAATCTCTAAATGAGTTGAAAATGATCCATCTAGAATTAGGAAATCAGTTTCTTCAATCTACCAATTCCAAATCTTGGATAAAATTGTTTTTCTTATGTCATACTTGATTGTAAAACATCCAATGTACCTTGATTATGGAAGAACATGTGAGCGAAATACAAGGGGATAGGTGCAGCAAAATCCACTACTCCAACACACAGAAAGCAATGGTCCCTGCTTAAACTTGTTATGAAATGAAAAGGCTATTGGCTTGGGGTCATTTCCAGGACCCCTAATGAACCCAACCAAAGATGCTGAAATCAGTGGACTTCTTCTAACATCATATATTGCTATAAGACCCCTGTACAAGTCATTCCCATCTCTATAAGACAAGGCTAGACGCTCTCCTGAAGCATCCCATGCTATCTTATCTATTCCTCGACTTCCAGTCAAGGACTGTATATCTGACAACTCAACGGGTATAAGATGTGCATCTAGAGACGGTGGCCTGGTTGCAAAGTGAATGGAACCCAAGGTTGAAGATTCAGAGAAAGCAATGAGTATTTTACTACCATCAGGATCCCAAGCTGCTCCCATGACAAAACCATTAGTTGAGGACCATGGTTCTGATGTCCATGTATTAGTCTCCCAGAGATAGAATGTCCCATCAAATTTTGCAGAGAAGAAATAGTCTCCTGATGGGGACCATCTCAATAAGGAGATGCCCCCTAAGCCACGTCGAATAGGTGTTCCCACTCCTTGAGCAACATCCCAAATGATGAATGAAGAGCTCTCAAATGAAGCTGATGCCAAATACTTCCCATTTGGGCTCCAGGAAAGGGCAGTAATTTGTTCATGTTCAGGACTTAGAAGGAAGTCCACAAGAGTCCATTTAGTTCCTGAGCCTCTAGAGAGAGTACCCAATGTAACACCTGATCTCACTGAAGCTGTATTGCCTGGAAATGAAGCAGCCCAAATGCAAATGCCACCCTTGCAGGCGACAGCAAGTGCCCTCCCACCATTTGGCCGCCATGAAAGACTTCTAACATCTTTTTGGGAGTCATTGATCAAAACACAAGGACTCCCTCCCTCAGAATCTTCATAATCACGAATTGTCACCTGATGTTGTCCGGAAATAAAGGCTAATATATGCTTGTGCTGGTGCCAATCAAGGACATGGAAATCAACATCTTGTAACAATTTTACATCAATGGGGTGAAAAAAGTGCCTCAGCGAACCAGTAGAGACTGCCTGCAATGCTGCCCAAAGTAGGCCACTCTTCCTCTGGTCGGCACCTTGTTCAGAGCTCAGTGCACTCAACAAATTTTCTGATTGAAAAGGAACTGGACTGAATATAATTCCAAGAACCTTGCCGTAAGTTTCCTTAGCTGCATCATCAGAGAGTTCATCTGCAGTAATGAGGTCTCGATTGATTTCGCAGATGGTAACTTCACCTGGTTGAGGAAATGACGGCATGTTTTTCAAGCAACAGAGAGAGAGACAGGGTTTATGGTTTCTATTTTGGGTTGATTCCTGCCAGCTCTTCACCTTCTCTAAACATGCCTTGCGGAAGGGAAGACTGAAAAAAATCATCAGAGCTTTAAGCACAAACACCATGCTAACTCAAAAGGCAGACCATAGAAACCCCAGAGATTAGAGTTAGGGCCTGTTTGGATTGGCTTTTGGCTTATGACTTATAAGCCAAAAGCCATAAGTTAGGATTTCTAACTTATGGCTTTTGGCTTATTTTTGTTATTTTGGCTTTAAAATAAGTGCTTATAAGCACTTTTTAACTTTACCCAAACACTTCAAAACTGCTTAAAAGCTATTTTGGCTTAAAAGCACCTAAAATAAGTCAATCCAAACGGGCACTTAACCAATTAAAGAAAAAGACGAAGAAAGAAAACAATCCAAGAGAAAAAATTGTATGGCCAAAGTATACCTTGCCAGCTATGTCGTGACCAAGAATGGGAATTATTTTGATGAAGGAAACTAGAGTGGTGGCCTTAGATCAATTTAAATGGAGAAACATGGACAGTGAGGAAATAAGCCTTACACTAAGGCAACAATACAGAGAGCAGTTAACATAAGAACAATTTTTACTGATCACACCAGCAGAAAACATTAACATTAAGAAGCAGGGAACAGGATCCTGGTTAACCAACAGAAGTCTACTGCGCAGAAGCCTTCAGAGTTTCAACAAAATATATAACAGAAGTCAGAGGAACAGACACTGAACCTTTTTATGCAATGGAACTTCTGAAAGTCACTTAAACCTCTCAACACTACTCAAAGATGAAGCTAAAAGAAATTATACCCAGATTCAAGAGGCAATAAACAAGAGTGAAGCCCCAACCTTATTCAACTATAGCAATCCAGATTCAGTGAACCACGACAAGGTATGATATTATGCAATACACAAAAATACAGGATATACACTAGTTCCAAATGTCTTCGATGCTCAGTATGGTCTAGAGAGTTAGCTCATATGCCATCCTCAAGAATTTCAGAAGCCGGTCAAGTTAGTTCAGTTACTCCCGAAGAGAATACGCTTTTGTGGATTTATATGTACTAAACCTTGAATTCTATTGAAGATAATGATGCAGTCGATGATAATTTCACTCTCTCAATTAGAGTTAGAAGCAGAGGATTGCAACAACCATGAAAAATTCATCCCATTAGACATTAGGGGAAGTACGTAGGTAATTCCCGTATTGAGATGCATTTCAATTCAAAGGACAGGTTCACACAATATATCAACAGCAGACTATATGGGTTCCATTTAGCACATCAGACTTTCATATTACACCTTCAAGAAATTCTTAAGCTATTAATCTAAGATGCCCCAGGGAGGGTGGGAGAGAGCAGAGAGCCTTGACCCAACAATAAAAATTCTCCTTTGGCGACTTGTAGTCACGGATCCGAGGTGTGGATTAACCTATTTGTAGAAGTATGTATAGTAGGTATAAATTAACTCTCCTTATACCCCACATTATCTAAGATACCCAAACATGACTACAAGGTTTTCCTTCATTAAGAATATTTCAGACGTCAAGCGATAGTATTAGAACAACACACTATTCCAAGAAAACAGACACCTATTAAGCTCTGGCCAACTGATTAAACCCACAATGCAAAGTGCTACTTAGGGGTTTAGCTAGTATTCAATGAGCATTGATGCAAAACCTATTTTTAGTACAGATTCAAGAGCTTATCAAAA